TTCTCCAACTTGAATTGTAATGTGTGTTTTTCAATGTCAGAGTTCTTCAAATTGATGATGAAAATTATTTCATTACGGATTCAGTGAACGGTGTATTTCATATAGGTGAATCATTCAGCAATATGAGCCATGTAATATGATGGCTCGAATCCAATTTTTAGTTAGATACATGTACTAATAATCACTATTGACAAATAACGGAACATCCACGATTTTGAACATTTTATTAGAAATTTTTACGACATCACACGAAAAACAGTAAATCTAAAACGAGTCTGCTTGTAGCATACTAGCATTAGGAATCATCAAAAATAAAGTTCTCGATTATTTCGGACATTGTCTTCCCAGTGTAGGATAACCATGGTAAATATCCTTCTAGCAATTTCCTAAGATAAAATATGCAGTATAGAAATCAATTATTTACCAGTCATTAACTGGTAAACCGGAACGAAGATGCTCTGACACTTTTAACTATTCAACTTTTTGCATCACACAATTAATTTTTAATGTAATGAAACGGAGAAAAAAATGTTTAAGCTTCTAAAAACAGCAAAACGTCGAACCTTCTTTTCGTTTCGAAGATCGTTCAAGACAAAGCCAATGTATCTGCCTTCTGGATACTCCACCCTCCTTCAATTGTATACAACGAGTAGGATTATACGTCACATGCAAATGATATATTAACAAATCATTTTATTTATGTAAATTTGTTATCTCACTTCCTTTTCCGAGCTATCAGGTCCCGTAGCGCTTCCTTTCCCTTGGATTTTTGTGTAAACATAAAAATAATTAATATATTAATTTAAAAATAATGCATTAAAATAAAATTTGAAAGATTATAATCAAATGTAGATTCAAAAAGTTACCTTTGATTTCTTTAGCTCTAATTGTTTTCCTCTCTTAAATGCTTTAAGCTTGACAATTATTTTTTCCTTCTTGGCAATTTGTTTCTCCTCCTTAGCGATTACTTTCTCCTCCTTGGCAATTGCTTTCTTCTTCTCGGCAGTTGCTTTCTCCTTCTTGGCAAATGT